CTACCGATGTGAAAAATTGAGGGGAGAGATATTTTATTTAAAATAGAATAGTGCCTGAAAATATTCTATTTGATAGACTAGCGGGAGTGAGTCGGCATTTATCGAAAATCCGAACACAAAAGTCGAAAGAGAAAGCGTGATATTCTTACTACAAATGGACTTTTAAGCCAAGAAAAAGTGCTGCGAGTATTACATTTTAGACGATCGCCCCCTTTATTCAAGTGTCAAGCGAAATTGTCTCAAGAGTCGGAGTGTAAGCCGGTTGTAAAAGAAAGGAATTTCGAATTGCATACCAGCACGGCTACAAGATTTGTAACATTAATTTTCGTCCAACTATCTGGCCTTTCGGTGTACAAGGTGCAAAAAGATCGAACTCAAAAACACAGAAACCGGAATTTCTTCGCTATTTGCCTAATGGTGAAGAGAAATTAAGAAAGAATGGATTGAGAAAGCCTCGATAAACATGCGGAGAGGAGAGAAAAAAGTCAAAGGCAGCTCGACGATTAAATGAAGCGAATATCACCTGTTGCGATCCCTATTAAGCCGGAGACGACCAGTTCCTGCAGGCAGCCGTTTAAAGCTCTGTCTCTGTCTGCACACTAATTACAGTAAATCGATCTTGTTAAATGTGGCGATTAAACAGCTTTCTCCAGAGGCTAGGCAGCTAGAACGAGGAATGAAAGGGTTGTGGTCTGAAAGAGTCGCCTTACGCCCGCTAAAACTATTAACACCACATTAATGAAATGGGGGAGTATTCAATTCAATTACGGCCAGCGAAACAAAGAGATAAAGATGAATTCCAAGAAGACGATTAGTGAAGCACTTTTTAAGCACCTCTCTGCCTCCATAAATATAATTAATACACGCCGGCTAATAAATGCCATAATTATTAAATACAAAGTTTTTCATTTAGGAACTAACTGAGTGCAAAATTCTTAAAAAAGAGCTGTATTTAAAGAGCAATCTCTTATCACACTTGATGTGTCAACCAGAAAAATACCAGCAAAAACTTGGTAAACTGCAAAAAAACTTCGGCTAGGCGTAATATATATATTTTTTATTTAATTTAAAATTGGTCTAAATTTTTAAGAACGTTAATTAATCAAGTTCTTAAGTAATTATGTTTTGAAATGAATAAACTAGTTTCTAAAATGAATGATTCAGAAATATATAAATAATAGTGCAAAAGAAGAGAATTAAAATGAAAAGAAAGGAATAAATTTACAAATGAATTCGTGACAAAATTCAGAAATATTAACATGCATAAATTTTAATTAAAACGATTAATCTAAAATAATATACTTACTGTGCAGGCGAAGAAAATTGCAAAATTTGAATTAGATACAATTGCTAAATTTTCAACTTAATTTGCAAAGAATTATATTTAAAAAATTAGGTCTAACTTCCTGCATAAAAGCTGTACAAACATAATTAAAAATGCAAATGGTTTGCAATTCAAATACTGTGAGCTTCTTTTGAGGAAGAACTCAGTAACTGCAGCTGTTTCCTGTATTTATGTACGTGAAAGAAATGTAACTCTTTGTTTCCTATTATAAAATTTAATATTACACCGTATTATTTCCCCCGTAAAAGTCCGCATTCGTTTATTCAACATGTTTAACAGAATATATTAACCGATTAATAAAAACGATTGGGGATAGATACAGTGTAAATGTTAGAAATTATAATAATGTGTAACAAAACAGCTCAGGGGTGTCGTGCCCATGGGCTAATTTTTCGCTCTGCAGGTGTAGATATGAAGATAAAATTCCATCGCGAGGAAATTAGTGTTAATTCTAGATTAATATTTGATGTTTATTAAGGGAAACGGGATTAAATACATCATGCTCGATAAAACTGTTAATATCTTTTGTCTTTACTCGTCAATTCGAGTATTTAATGAGGTTACTGACAACTACTACAAGTTGTTCAGCACGAGTCGTATAAACTGTGCCTCTAACTATTTTCTAACCAGTCCTTATCTGAATTTCAAATCGATAATGACTCTTGTTAATTGTGTTTCTTAATCACCGAAACTCTTGCAACCTAGTCATTAAGTAAAAATCGACCTCGCCTGGAATAAATTACATATTCTACATCATTTATTTCCTACAGTATTTATTTATTTATTAAGTTTGATTCAATCCTATCTACGAAAAAAAGTAATTGCGGGTAAGGGCAGGGAATGCGAGACAATACTCTCACAAGTAAAGTTAATCTACAATAAAGACAAGATGTGCTCCGGACATTCATCATCTGAGGTAAGACAGGGATGTATTTCTGTCTTATCGATTGCATTTCTCTCTCATTATTTAAGCTAGAGAATGTTGCATGGTTTACTGGAAGATAGTCTAATCTGATTATGTAGTGTCTGCAACTGAAGTGAGGTAATAGTGCACTGAACTGTACGAATTAGCTGTTTATCGATATATCCTCTAAATTACGTGATGCTGGAGTTCAAAATGTCTGTGGTCCTATCTAAATTGATGTCTATCTAAATCGTTTAGATCGACCGAAATATGCTTTTCTTCCTGAATTGGTTGGGTAATTTCGTTAAACTTTCAAATTTATTCGCATTGATAACAAAAATAACTCGATTGATTTTCGTAGTGAAATTGTTTATTCGTTCGTTTCCTACTTTCTAAACGTTAAAAATGGGTCGAAAAGGAACGCATTAATCATGCTCGACATTAATTTAATTTATAAAAAGTAATAGAAAATAAGGGTTTAAAATTGGCAGTGGTGAGACAATTTCAGTTTTAACCATTAAAGATAAAAGGCAAATAGTGGTTTAAATAGGGCCATAAGCGCCCCATATCTAGGTGTGGGTGTAATAATCAGTTGATTCAACCCATGATTTTCTTTCTGCGTGGTATTTCCCTAGCAAGTCACGCTAAGGAAATGACGTCGATAATTATAGGCATACAATTGTTGTCAGAATAGATGGAATTTCACATTGGTTTTATTTCTTAATGGCCCAGTGCAGAACTAATTCACTCTGATGAAGATCCGGGGATGGAGGCATTCATATTAATGTGATCAATGACTGGAAATTTTTAAAAGTCAAAACTTACATCTATTAATTTTAAGTTAAACATAATAAATAAATACATAAATAAGCTTATCTGAATCATTGAAGATCTTCAGAGAAAAATGATGACTAAACTTACCTGATTTTTCTTGATCTTCATCATCAATTAACGAAGGATTTCCGATTTAAAAGAAACGACTTTAATTTACTAATTCTCTTGGGACAAGATTGCACTTTGACAAATTTTAACGATCATTTTTTAATCACTTTGTTTTATTCGCGAATAAAATTTTTAAAAGCGTTAAATTTAACAGCAGATAGATTAACATTAGGAGATATTAAAAAAAATAATAATAATAAAAATAAATAATAGTAACGATAATAAAAGGATCAAATAAACATCAATTAAAAAGCCAAGACACTACATCTAGGGAAGGATAATATTGTCACAATCGTACATCGATGCAAATCATTTAAATTCAACTAAATACAGTAACACAGTTCAGACAAGGAAAAGGGAAAAATATCAAAAAACACTAAACGGTCGCGTTTTGAATGAAAATAAATAAAAAACAAAAATAAAAACAAATCATTTCATCTCAAAAACAATTTTATTTTACAGTACTTGCCTAAGCAAATTGGTTACAATGGGCAAATATCATCGCACTCCCTTATTTACAAATAAAAATAATTTTTGTCAATTCACAGCCATATAGGGGATATAGAAATAAAGAGACTGACAAACACAACAACTTGCTAGACGATCTCATCCCTCACTAACAGCCAAGCATTAGATCAATAGGCCATCTGCAACTGAGGGAAACTGGATTGGGGGAAAAAAAAGTGTAAACGGACATGCCTCCAGCATAAGATCAAAGATGCTTCAAACTGATTGGCAACGAACATGCAACATACAAGGGGTAGATGTGACATCTAATTTCGTTTGTTTTACTGATATCACAATACACACCCCACACACATAGCAACATTTTCTTGTATTAAAAAGGACACTTTCCGTTCTATGTACACTGGGGAAGGGGAAAATTTTAAAATAATTGTTCTACAATGGCCATTTTCTTTTTTCTTTTTGTTATTTTTTTAACAAAGAGCAATTCTGGGTGGAAGATAAGGTTTTTTCTACTTTCATTACACAACCATTTCATGCCTGTACAACTACTTTATCATTGGATGTTGGGTGGGTGGGAAAAGGGGTTTAAAAATAATAATATATAAACACATGTACAAAACAATCTTGACAACGGGTAGGTCTCCCAATGTCACCATCAACTTAACAGGATAAAAAATTTCCCTTACCGGGTGGTGGGATGGTTCTTCTATTTTACACACCAAGAAGGTCCAGTAAATTCTTTCCAACATCTACGGTATCTACACATCTTAAGACAAATTAATTGCGTCATTAATATTATAAATCAGTGCAGAACCTTGATCCCTCGTATCACTTTCGCGATAGCATATAGCAGCATAAAACACAGATTAAGGCAACACACACAGGAGAAAGGTTTACACTACAATACCTGAGCTTTTTTCCATTTGTGGGGACAGTTTGTATCACGAAGCGTAAAACACTATAATACTCGGATTGTTAATTTGAAGTACAAAAATCAGTCTTCTTGTGTACAACTTGTGTGTCCTACAAGGCCACTATGTATTTACTACACATTCTTATCACCATCATGTATGTACACAATAATTTTGCTCTCATCACAATATCTTCACGATGTGATAATTCACACCGATTTTTCTGTGACATCATCGGTGGTAGAATGAGAACATAACAAATAAACGGAGGGGGTAAAAATAAAGAACTGGCCATCCAACCAACGTTCAAAACTGGAGAATAAATTAGTTCGGAAAATTGATAAATTACATCTACACATTTGGCAACATCATGTTGTCTGGTGACATTCTTTTTAACACTTGGTGTGCGCGTGTCACAGTTGATTCCTACCTGTATACATGGTGGGATGGATGAAGGCTCCAGGTACACCTGCGTAATAACCTGGAAAGCCGGTATACATATATGGAAAAAGATTAGTTGCTGATGCTGCTGAAGACTCGTTGCTAGATAGGACGAAGTCACCCATGGGATTCAGCATATTGTTGTTAGTCTGATTGGCTGCTGGCGTTATGGAACCTAATTCTTTGTCCTCCTCTTTTGCTTTGCATGCAATATCATTAGAAATTGGACTTTTAATGTTGTTCGTAGAAGTACCGTTCGTCGGAGATTTTTCATTTTTTGAATTGTTTCTGTTCTTTTCTTGCTCCAGTTTAGAGCCCGTTGGAACCGATGACGATGGCTGAGCGGGCATGTTCATTGTCAGACTTCCAGTCGTTTGATTGAGGTTCATTGGAATTGGCAAACCAGCTGCCATTTGTTGTAGTCCCATCATTTGAAGCTGCTGCATCAAATTAGCTTGACCTGCTGTAGATGGTGTTGGAGGAGATCCACTATGATCCATGTCTTGGGACTGCTGTTGTTGCATTGCTTGAGGCAAGGAAGTTGCAGCAAGAGATACTGCCAATTCTTGTCTGTCTATACCTTCCTGACCTTCTTTCAATTTCATATTAGTTATTTGTAACTTTAAATTGTCCAGGTGTTTTTTAGAGAATAAATGATCTTGAAGATTGGTATTTGAATACTTTTGATTGTATTTAACACCGCACATAACACATTCTTCGGGAGGTTTTCCTACTTCTAATTCTTGCCCAAAAGTTTTAGCAAAAACCAACTTTGATTTTTTTTCTTTTGCTCGTGCATTTTGAAACCAAACTTGCACCACTCTTTTTGGTAATCCTATTTCTCTACCAAGCATTTCACATTCTGCCATCGAGGGAGTTTTGTATTCTGAAAAAATTGACTTCATCACTTTCAACTGTACTGTTGTCATCTGAGTCCTGAATCGCTTGCCGCTACCTGATGGATATCTCTGATTATGTAAATTTGAAGCGGGAGATGTTGGATTACTTTCGTGTGATGCATCTTCACCTTCCATATTATCAGTAGATTCTGAGTATGTTTCCGAAGGAGCCTCATCAATACTAGGTGCTTGAGATATCCCGTCTTCTACTATCCTTTCACTCAAATTGATTGGGATGTCACCTGATCTTTCTAGTTCTAATGCACCAACTTTTAGAGGTTTACTTAGATCCAATGGTATCTCTCGCGATTCGCTCTTTTCTTCTTGTTTCTCCTGATTTCCAGTAGTCTTTACTTTAATACTTAAGTCTGTTGGAAATGAAGATTCTTTGCTAACATGGGTCGGAGGACACAGTTCATCCAGGTATTTCTTCAGTGAGTCCTCATAATACTTTTTCATGGAATTTTGTACCGATTCAGCACAGACAGAAGAAAATGAAGATGTAACAGGAGATGCTATACTAACAGGAAAATTCAGCATAGTATTCTTTTCTTCAGATGTAATGGACGTCGATGGCATTTCTGGATTTGAATCACAATCTCCATCAGGAAGACTATCGATATTGACATCTCCTTTAGTATATTGATCAGCATGCCTAGTGGCTAAATGGGATTCGAGTGCCGATCTAGCTTTGAACAATGCACGACAGAAGGGACACCTTTTATGAATCACCTGCTGGTGAACGCGGAACTGGCCCTTCCGTTCACGTGCCCTTGTGTTCTGAAACCACACCTGGACAACCCGTTTCTTCAGTCCCACTTCTCTCGCAATACTTTCGAGCATCTTTCTACTAGGATTACTCTCCATCTGGTATTTCTGATAAAGATAGTCTAATTGTTCAGGTAAAATGGTGGTTCTTAGTCTTTTATCTCTGGGTTGTTCTGCTGATTCTTTAACTTCTTCTTCTTCAGAGAGTTTTCTTTTTAGAGGAGGCATTGTAGGTTGGGTATCGTAAGGCAATACTCCTCCGTACGGTGAATTTGGATTGAAATTGGGAAATAGGTTGGGATTCATAATGTGAACAATTTGATGCTCGCGCCAGAGATCAATGCGTGGAAATACCAGACTACATTTTTCACATCTGTAGGTACCATTCTGTCCAAATTTCTCAAGAGGTGGTCTATTGAGAGCTGGACTAGTGCTAGCTACTGGTGAAGACTGAGATCTATCTTCGTTATTTCCACTCGAAACTTTAATTTGAGCTGCAAGTGGATTTTCATCCTTGAAACAAGCGCTTTTCTGATGTTTGATAAGTTCGTAATAGCGTTGAAACACTTGCAGACATTTCTTGCATTGATAATTCAATCCTGGAGTTCTTTGGAATCTTCCCAAACCATCGTCGTCTGGATTCACAGGCGGTTGATTTTCGTATACTTTCCTAGCCTTTTGCCTGGCATTCTGAAACCACACGACAATCACGCGCGGACTGAGATTCAGTAATTTCGACAGATATTCCAAATCATCATCTTTCGGATATGCATTCGATTCGAAAAATTCTTGCAACACTTTTATCTGATAGTCTGTGAATCTAGTACGGTTGGCCCTTTTGCCTGTGGTAGAACTGCTAGTGGTAGTTGGTGTGGTCGTTCCGCTAGAATTCGGTGTTCCGGTTGAATGAGGTGATTCCGAAATTGGTGGTGTACATGGCGTTGGAGTCGTGGGAGTTGTTAAAGTTGATGTTTGAGGGGAAGTTGTTATATCCGTTGAAAGCATATTTTTGCCTGTGATGTCCAAACTGTGGCTAGGGAATGTAAACGTAGAAGTAAGAGAACACGCTGCAGCTTGAACTGATGTTACAGACATGCTACTCGTAGATGGAAATCCTTGGGATTGGTTAGATGTTGGTAGCATACATTTTGCATCTGAAAACATTTGCTTATTTGTTTCTTGCTTGACAGATAATTCCTCAGAATTGGCGTTATTTTCTTGATCAGTTGATGGTTTTGAATCGTTCTTGTTTTCACCAAATTTCAGATTGTTAGGATCGTTTTCATTTAAAGATTTTAAATCTACAACTTTCGCTTCTCCTGTTTTTTCATATTCTTCTAAATTAAGAAATGTAGATGGCGGATTATTGAAGTTATATGGAGAATCTTTGTTGCGCTGTCTTTCTTTAAACAACGTATTTCGAAACCAATGCTTTATCACTTTCAATGGTAATCCAGATTTATCAGACATCTCCATCAATTGTTCTTCTGTTGGCGAATTGTTAATATCAAAATAAGCTCTCAAAATTTTTAACTGTTCATCACTGATCCTGGTGCGAGCACGCTTTTGTTGAGTCTGGGCCAACTGTTGTTGTTGCTGGAGAAGCTTTTGTTGAGCACTGAAGAAATTTGGATCCATGGCACCAGGCATGATTGGATGACTAAAGGCAGATGCTACTAACGGATCTAAGGGAGGTGGCATCATAACGGGTATAAGTGGTGGATGAAGATTCATTGCGGCTGCAAAAGGCATATTCATGCCCATTGGCAAACCCATTCCTAAACCCATACTCATCAAAAGTTGATTAAATTGAAGTTGTGCCGCCATTTGACTCGTAGTAACGGAAGACGCCATATCAATAGACGAAAAGGAAGTAGCTGGTGGTGTTCCGGAAGTTGGCATGAAAACAGGAGGAAGAGAAGTTGCTACAGGAGTTGGAGTTGGTCCATGGCTAGATTCTGCACTAACGGAAGGAGATGAACAACTTGCTTCAGATGGTGCAGGAAGATCTTCAGGATGATTTTCTGATTGATTAGCAGTTCTTTTCTCATAATCTGATCTAAATTCCAAAGCAAATTTTTCTACTATTTCCACTGGAACTATAACTTTATGAATTTCTTCTTGGTGGGTTTTCAAAACCCAAATACTTGAAAATTCTTTCTGACAAAGGGGACATAAAGATTTGTTGATTTCTGGCAAATGCGCCTTACCAATCTTCTCTTCCTCTTCATTGTTATTATTATTACCGTTATTATTAATACTGCTGTTACATGTTTCTTCTCTACAATTCTGATTAATTGAAACACCTTCAGGGACATCTTCATCTCCATCTCGCTTATCTAATTCTTTCTTTGGTTTCTTCTGTGTCAATTCATTAAACTGCATTACAACATCAAATCCAAAACTTTCCAAAAGATGTCTATACATAAGCGGTTTTGTTCTTGGAAAAGCGAATTTTGCTCGAAGCATTTGTTGACTAAGTCCAGGACTCTGTTGTGGTGGAGGAGGTTGAGATGGTGATGTTGATGGTTCTGCAGATGTCAATTGCAGTAACTGACCAGCTTTATTCTGATCATCCTTATCTGGAGTTAATTGTAACCTATGCTGCTGGGGAGATTGCTGTGTGGTATGGCTTTGAAGACTGGAGGATTGTACAGGATTTGGAGTGTTTGAATTATTTAAAACGGATGCCGAAGGTTGTTGGAAGAAACAATATAGTTGTTGATGCTGTATCAAAGCTTCCTGAGACATAAATACGGCATTACAACGTTGACATGTAAGTACTGTTTGTGGAGATACTTGAGAAGGAATGAGAACAGGTGGTTGTCCAATATGAGGTGCGAGATTCAATGCTTGTTGGATTGAAGAATCGGGAGAAAGTTGTAATGGAAGTTGTGGAGAAATATTATTTAAAGCTCCAGTTCTTGACGACAAAGCATTATTGGACGTTGTTAAATTATCTATCAAATTCGACGTATTATGAGGAGACACCGCACTTGCACACTGACTAGTTGGCGGTGAAACTTTGGTTGGAAACGTCGCATCTCCAGGCTTTTGTTCCTGATTATGTTGTATTGGATCAGGTCTTTCTACTAACGGTATGCTGAGATCTATTTGTCCAGTGATTGCCAATTCATGTAATTTAGATGCTCTAGTCTGATGCAATACTGAACGTATATGAATATCTAAGGTAGATCCTTGACTGTAAGCAACCTTACAAATGTTGCATTTATATGGTTTCTTATCAGAGTCATTAGCAGACGTTGATGTATTAGTGGATGGCAAATTATTAATGCCTGAAGATGTTGTTACTGTCGTAACTGAATTTGAAGAAGCTACAGAGTTGTTTTGAGAACTGTTATTTGCTGCTTGATTGCTTTCCTTCATACTTTGTTTTAATTTATGGAGATGAGAAACTGAATTATAATGAACCAGGAGAATATTCTTTTGCGTGAACGATTCTTTGCATATTTCACACTTGTACGGTCGATTTGGATCTAAATATTTTTCCATTGGATAACTTAACTTTTCACCCTTTCTGTGCAACAACGTTTTATTGTGGCTTGTTAAATAGCTCTGTCGAGTAAAGGCCACTTTACAACGATGACACTTATATTTTCTGCTTGGATCATTATAACTATCTTCCGCTATTGCTTGACTGTTGATGTAATCTTCAAATATTTGTTGTTCTTTTCCTCCGTTTCCATCCTGTACTGATTGATCCACTACTTCCTGCACTTCATTTTCAGTTTCTATTGGAGGATGTTCCTTCTCTTGATTTTCGACATGTTCTGTTGCCATTTCTTCTTGCTGTTCGCTATCTTCTCTTGTTTCTTTTTTCAATATATCTGGCGTTTCTGGAGTTAAAATACCGGAAACCCCTCCTGTGAGCAAAGGATTATTAGCTAGACTAGCACGATATTGTTCTGCTTCTTCCTTAGTCATATCTGCATGAGCTAATTCCACGTGTTTCTGCAAAGCTGGAATGGAACGAAAATTTTTTCCACACAGTACACACTTAGTAGCTGCACGAATGATATGATATTGTGAATGAAGTTGAAGTTTCTCTAAGGTTTTGAATGCCAAACTGCATTGGTTACATCGGTATTTATATACATGACGCTCTGATACAGCTAAAGGAGTCCTTCTGGTATGAACTTCTTTGAAATGAATCTGAAGCGTGGCTATTGATTTGAAATACTGATTGCAACCTTTCCTCCAGCAGAAATATCTGGGCCCATTCGATGTTGTCTTCAATTCCAGATGACTTAACTCATTCTGATGATTAAATAATTCCTCCACACTAACGAACGTTTTACCGCACATATGACATGAAAATTCATCAATAGGATTTTCATCGATGAACATTTTATCCGTTAATTCTCCTTCAGTTTTACAATCTCCATCGACCAAATCTTGCTTACAATCAACTTCTTCTGTTTGTGCATTCCCATCATTACCTTGTTTTGCTTGCGAAGGAGGCATGATCCAATCGGATTTATCCACTAATGCTAAAAGACGTTGAACTCCTTCGTTGTTGACGTGATGAACCTCTGTTAAATGATTTTCAAGTTTTACCCACTCTTTAAATTTCTCTTGACATAGAGGGCACAGAACTGTTGACGGCCTTTGGGAATGTTGTGCCACCACATGCATTTGAATGCGAACTTCATTGGCACTTGTATAATTGCAGAATGGACACGAATGAGTTTGATCGACACTTCCTTCGTTTGTAGAATTAGCTGTTTTGGAATGATCTAAAAGGGCTTGTTTCAGCATGGGTGCTGAACCCAGAGGTAATGTTTCGTTTGTTGCGGGTGGCGTTTCTGTTGTTTCTTCTATTGTGGGTATATCCAAGTCAGTACCAAACCGCGCATCTGAGGAGAGAAAGCCAATCAGATCATCACAATGTTATTAAAACAGTAGTAAACTCCTATTTTGTAAAAGTTATGTTAATTTTCGAAAAATTTAATATTTAAAAATTAATAAAATAAAACATATTTTCATTTTTTATATACGTTCTTATAAATAAATGATATGATGCTTATATAAAATTAAAATATTTTAAAATCTTAATAATTAAAAATGCGTGCTTTGTTTGGAAACTCTCTAGGTTATAAGCATTTATTATTAAATTATTTATAGTAGATTCTACTATAAATAATTTATACCACACAGACTGCTTAACAAACGATTTTAGATCTTATTCTAAACGTAATTTTGTAATCTATTATTTCTTTTATGTATCTGTACTGACTAAAATATCTTGATCGTAAATGCATCTACAACTATAAAAATGACAAGGACATTTAATGACTTAACTGGAATAAGCGTCATCGAAAATACCGAATTCGAATTACACGCAAAAGACACGAATGTTTTCACAACGAATAATTTTGAAAATAATTAAAATAAAAAAACCAGAACTACTATAGAAGAATAAAAGTACAAAATGAAAATAAGGAAATCTACTGAATTTATACATAAAAAGAAAAGAAAAACAGTGTTCTCAAGTATATCAGAACTAAACAAAAGTTTTCTGGGACATCTAATTCGTGAGATATGCAGAAACATTTAATGACTTGCGAAGGATTGTCAAAATCGTGACTTTGATTTAGAAAGATTTCGACTGGGCGTGATAAAAAAAAAAAGGAATATCTAGAGATAAATTGAAGAAATAAAAGAATAAAATAGGGCATCACAGAACGAGTTTAATGGATTTGCCTTGTCATTGTTACGTATACATTAATATGTCCAGTTTCAGATCTTAGATGTTAATTTTAACATTTACTCTTAAAAAGGAAACAAACAAAAATTTTAGTGAGAACGGTAAAAATTCTGCTCTAAAATATTTTTAGATTATCCGGATATTAAAGCAATGACATTCTATGAGATTTATAAAAGTAGTTCAACATAAACCTTTAGAAATGACAGTTTATTGTAGAAAAAAACCTAATTACTAAAAATAGTGCATGTTTTTGGTTGAAAAAATTTAGCTTACTATTTTTAAAATGATGTAATTTTATATGAATTTCCGTTGATGTATTTAATCGAATATTTGACGATTTAAAATTGTATAGAAATCTTAACATATAAATTTGGAAGGATGCGAAAGACAAGGATGGCAGATGCTGTACTTCATTTCTACAATGCTAAAAAATTTAACGAGAATATAGATATATCCATCTTGTATAAACACGTATTTCTTCGTTCATCGATTTTCTTGGAGTTAAATCACGGAAATAAAGGTTATGTTACAATTCGAATAATATATTTATCTTGAGAGTTTACCAAACAAGAAATCACACATTCTTAACATTTCGGCGAAACATGCAGATAACTAATTAAGATGAAAATGCACCTTACCGAATTCGGAATCAAATATAATCTTTTCGTTTCCCTTGTATTCCTTGACAAGAAAAGTTTCTCTGATATCATCCTCGACAGATCTTCCTTCACTTTTTTGTTGCATTTGACGGAAATTTTCATTTCTTAAATGTCTTAGGGAATGTATATGTTGTATTAAATTAATTTTAGTTCTCGAAGAGAAATTACACAATTTACAATGGTAATACTTATTCTCTGCCATCACTGCAGTTTCTGCAATTTGGAAATGGACGAACAGTTTAGCACTGGCTTCGTGTCTGGGATTGGCTGTATGCACTTGAAGTTTATGAATGCTGTTGGTGTAATAATCGCATGCGTTACAACGTACTTGGACGGGGTTGCTGACATTGGCGTATTTCAGTTTCCATTCATTTCGAACGCCACCCTCCTTCACGTGGTTGACATGTTGTAACCGTTGAAGATGTTTGTCCGTCTTGCAATGGAGCTGAAAGTTAGCTTTAAGATTGGTTTTATAAGTGCACAACTTACAAATAAAACTACCTGCGACAACCATGAGAACTTCGTCCTCACGCTGTCTCGTACGATCTTCCATCACATGATGGTTTAATGTTTCTACCGTATCGGCAGAAAAGTTGTTACAGACACAACACTGAAATAACTTGTTCAGTTCATCATACTGCACTTCACCACGTGATGATGTTTCGCGATGATTTAACTCCACTGATTGATTTATGTTTGGTGATGGTCCCAAATTAGTCTTTCCGGTTGCTGCTGCAGCTGCAGCGGCTGCCATAACTCTTTGTTGTTGTTGTTGTTGTGTTGCTGCTGCTGTTGCTGCTGCTGCTGCTGCTGCTGTTGTTGCTGCTGCTGCTGTTGTTGCTGCTGCTGTTGTTGTTGTTGTTGTTGTTGCTGCTGCTGTTGTTGCTGAGTAGCCATCATTAGCAAGGCATGATTATAAGCCATGTCTGCTAGAGCAGCCTCGGGCTGTAACTGAGCATCACAGGGAAGAAGCAAACCTGGGTGGAACTGAAAAAGTGGATCTAAGGCTTGAGCCTGTTGAAAGGCTGTTAACTGCTGCATGTGTTTGACATTTTGTTGAAGCACCATCATATTATGAGTGTGTTTCTCACTTGTCATGTGAATCCTCAAATTACGTGCAACGTTGGTTTCATAATTACAGATGTCACATCGCCATGTTGCCTTCGGTTTAGGGGCAGGGGGTGGTTTTTTCACAATCTGGGGATCAGGTGGTAATGAAGTGGGTGGGAGTCCTTGTGTTTGTAGGATATGTTCAGCTGACAATGTTCCATTTTGCATTTCTTGAACATTATTAATATGTTTATCTGATTGCATGTGTATGCTAAGATTTCCTTTAGTTGTGGTAGAATAGTTGCACACTTCACACCGATACGGTTTATAACCGCATGTGTATGTTTCTCCACGTGCCAGACGTGGATGAGGTTGTCCAGCTAAACAATAAATGCAGTTCATTTCATTTTCTGGATGTTTTTCTTTCATGTGAATCTCTAATGTCTCTTGGTACTTGTAGTGCCAATTGCATTTGGGACACTTAAGAGTCTTGCATGAATTACGGGAATGCATCATTGTCATATGACCTCCAAGAGAGCGTGATGAACCCAGAATCATGTCACATTTTGGACATTCTACTCCGTTTGTTTTACCATCAGGATGTTGAGCACACACTCCAATCACATGACTCGTGGATGGGGTGGGAGATTGGCAAGTGGAAAGATGGGGACTGGGCACCGGTAGAACTTTAGGAGATGCTCTCACTCCAGGAGATATGCTGTCTACACTACCCCTACTAGTTGGTCTGTCTACACAACTTGATGTAGCTGTTCCTTGTCTGTCATCCTGGATTCCCTGAGCTGCAAAGTTGGCGTCATTTAGATGAATATTTGTAGATCCTGATCTTTCAAGTTGATTTCTTTCTGAATTTGACATTACCATTGTCTCACTTGCTTCAGCGGCAGCTGCAGCAGCAGCTGCTGCTTTTGCCATTTTTTCAATGTTAGCCAAATCTTCAAGTTCTGGCGCTAACACTTCGTCCTTGGTAGTAATGGAAGATGCAGAATTAAAGACAGCTCCAGGAGAAGCCCTATCTGTCCTCAGAGCTGACTTTATTTGTGGAATGGACGAAACGGGACTCGAACTAGCTGAAACTACTGTTGTAACAGCACCACTAGACACAGCACTGCTGACAACATTCAGTAAGGATGCCATGGGACTCGAAGAGACAAAGGAACTCATAGAATGGGGAAAATAGTTACCACGAAATTTTGGTAACACATTGTCCTGAGCGGATGATGTAGGAATTGGTTCTAGGAATGATAACAATGGTTCTTTTTCCTTTCCCACACCTTGTATAATGGCTGAAATATTCTGCTGAGACATTATTTCCCTCTCTTCCTCATTCAGTCCAATATTATGCTCACCCATTGCATGAGCAACGAAAGATTTACTGTATCCAAAAGATAACTTACAAATGAAACACATAAGAATTGGTTTGATGGGCACAGATGAATAATCCAAGAAAGGTAAATTAGATTTTTCCAAATTACTACCGGGCCTTTTCGAACCCTTACTATCTTTATTGTCTTTACATTTGTTGTCTTTATCACGCCTCACAGTTATCACCCTGTAACTATGCATCACGGGGACTTCAGGAACTTTGGTACTCTCCTGTAGGAGATTATAAGCTTGGCCGTACAGGGCACTAAGGGCAGGGTTTCTCGAAATGTGAAATGCATTCACCACTTCTGGAATGACCCTAAAATTAGGCGGAGTCATTCCACGAGCATCTACGATACATCCTTCCTGCTGAGGTAGATCAAAACTGCATTCTTCATCACTGGCTTCTGAATCACCGGCACCCTCTATAATGTATGCAGAACCATCTGGGTTGTAGATTATTTTGCCCCTGAATGTTTCCACATCACTGAGAGAACTGTCCGATTGGTGGTCACCACCCCTTGTCGGGTACCTCCCACACCTAGAGTCCAGTGGATGACTGGACTCTTTGCTGACCTCACCACCACCCAAGCTCGACCCCCTATCAGCTTCTTTGGGGTTATCCTCAGGGGTCATGCTGCACCTCCTGTCACCTGTGTCCACCAGGCCAGGACCATGGTTTATTGTCGTCTGTTTGTCCACTCTCTGGCCTGTGTCCATGTCAATCCCTGGGACATGGGGATCCATGGCGTTAGGTCATGGTGGGACCAGCCATCCGTCTCTATATAGTACAGAATACACTATAATTAACTGCAGACATAATACTAATTACACAAACATACAAGCACACAATACACATAGAAAAAAGAATCGAGAGAACAGCTGTAAATATATAGCAAATGCTTCCTAGAACTAAAGCAAAATTCTGTCGCTAAACAGCTGTAATAAAGACAACAGAATCGTGCTCTTGTCCTAATTACTATTTAACTAAACTACTTATACATCTAACCTGAATTATAATAGCTTTCACTTTAGCTAATAATCTGTCTGTTTTTATTATAAACTACGATCTATAAAGTATTAAGATAATAGATACTTTAAGTTTCATATTAATTAGCTTATTTTTTTTATTTAACAATAACAAATACAATAACTTATCATTTTGCAATGGTTCTCTACTAGCAGTGTTTAAATAATTGTTTTGTCCCATAAAAAATTTCCAGTAAACAGTAAAACATTATCTTGTAAATTATTTTTTAACTATTATAAATTTCTTCACGTGAACTCTCCTTATACAAAGAAAAGAAAATTTATTATTTAAATACGTTCCATAAAATATCACTAATTAGGCAATTTGTTCAAAGCAATACAACTACATTTCAAAGAAACTATGGAAATTATCCAATGAAAAATATTGAAAAATACAGCGAATTGAAAACATTCACTTTCAACACCAATAATAATAATAAAAATAATATATATACACAAAATGTACGTGGTATGTATCTAAAATGATTTTCATGATGAAACTTAGAAGAGGATACGTCGGATTCTGCAACCAAGTTAAGAGAGACGACAGGAAGAGCAGATTCCAGTCAAACGATATCGGAATAGCGAGAAGAATTGGAATTTGCATGCCAGGAAGAATCAATACTAACCGCAATCCAAAGAATGAAAAGACGACAGGGAGTCTAGAGACGCGCAGGATTTCGTCACTAGAGATTCGTCCGAGCGAACGTTAACTCTTTTCTCCCAGGTACTCACCTCATACTCCGATCCGACTGGGAATATCCGTCGTTCGACTACCTTTGAAACGTATGTTCAATAACATCCCTTGACACAGGGCTCCAACGCCGCCCTCTTTCCTCTTAGCTTTTCTTTTAGAAAGCGTCGGTGCAGCATTCAAAGGGCTGGACCGGGTCTTTCTTGTCCAGGAGCCAGTTTTTAACTGGTCCTTCCATTGATTCTGCATTTCGAGGGAGAGGGACGGACGACATACAATAGTCTGCTTTTCATCTGTCTGTTTGTTAACCTAAACTTGTGCGGTTTGTGTATAGAGACGTATAAAAAATAACTTTGAAAGAACAGTTGTTGTTTATACGTACGTTAAGTTGGGCAAATGATAAGAAGCAAATGAAACTAAACTAAGACTGTTTTTCTAAAAAAAACTTAACCTATAAAAAATGTTTTCGACAGAGTTTTACAGACAGCATAATGCCGATAATAAGGTTTTATTAATATTTTCGAAATATACTCTATGCAGATTAAGCACAATATCGATTTTCCATTAGACTATGTTGCATGCTTAAATTCTGCTATTTAAATTGCACATTGATGTGACCGGCATCCGAAATGTCTCGTGTTAGAAAACAGATTAGATCCGAAACCAGATTGATTTATACAAAGCATAAATTAATGAAAACAAAACATTTTACAAATTTATAAATTTTCGATTTTATATTTTAAATGACGTTTTAAAAATTCAAATATACAATTTAACATTAGAAAATTAAATTCAAAATGCAAACGAGGTTTTTAAATGTTGAAGATTTAGAAAACAATTTAGAAGAAAAAAAGAAATAAAACTAAATGATTAAATGTAAACAAAAATTTAAAGTATTGGTTAGATCCTGGTGAAATTTAATGTAATTCGCGTCTTTTAAAATTATCCAAACAAATGCCTAATTGGTTATATTTTCGCGAAAATTATAAACCAATAAAAATGCCAAATAAGAAAATTAAATCATAGAAAATATTTTTTAAACATCAAGCAATTTTTTTCATAAACTTTTTAAATTATTTCTAATACAATAATAAAATGCCGACTTTGTTTAAGATTGTTATTACATTTATCAGCATTGACGTAATTCTTTCTAATAATTTCTCTAGCAAAAGCCCAATTATATTCTTCTGTCATAATGGAATAATTTCCTTCAACTTTTTTACTTACAACTAACTACCACACGGTTAGAAATTAGTACAAAATAACATTCTATAATTCTATCAAAACAATTAAAGGTGTTTAGATTTCGTTTGAACTTTTACATATGAAATATAAATAATTCCTTTTGCTACGGATTATATTTATTTATAATCGAAATTTTTATACTTTTTCCAATTTTCTACTTACGACAATGCTAAATTATCTTATTTATATACAGTATTTAAGTTTATAATTACCGTTCGGACTGGTTAAATGCTTTTTTAATGCCATTTTTCTACTTTAAATAGCCCTATTAAAAACACGAAACTACTTTATCCGTAAATATATCAGACATGCATACAAAAACTGAATATTTAGCGTGCATACGAGAAATTTTTGATATTGTCAAGCCTGAACATCGTTAGTTTTGAAGTAGATACGACTGTCTAGAAACTCTAATACTGTTGACAATCACGTCATTTCATCATCACCGGGCCGAACAGATGATATGAAACGGGGCATGTGGCTAATATGACCTATCTCTCCAGGTGATCAACTATTATAATTGATACGCTTTGTTACACCTGACGCCGTACGCGAGCCGCTTGTGCATTTGTTTATCTGTCATATGAGAAATTTTAATTATGCTAATTGATTTTTAATACAAGTATATAATGAATTTTCCACGACTTCTTATCAGGTGTGAAAAATTAGATAAAAAGAAAACAGACCGAAATGACATTGCTAAGATAAAGGTNGCACGTCAGACACCTGAACAACTCTCCTACATGAGTCAAGTCTCGAAGAAAATCATGCCAGAAGAGCTCGGAAAATTGAAATTCCAACTATTCCTGTTCTTGAACATATGATGAAAGAAATTCGGAGGTGCGGACCACCCTTGATTCACTCCTGGCACTTGTTTCTCCAAACGAAAAAACACACTCCTGTAAAGTCACCTTTGCAAAAAGTTCACCAGCACTTCACCGTGCCAAACGCCAACCATCTAATATTTGTTTAAAATAACTTAATTTAAGAGTTGTTCGAATTAAGCTAATAAGCTAATTGTCTCTTACTGCTATCTTCTATTTATACTCTTTGCTGTTTGAATGCGTCGTCGATTATTGCGTTCCATGATTGATGGATTATGTGTCCTAAATTATTTTTCATTCTACTGCTTTCTCTCTTTATGTATATATGTTCAAATAATTGTCTTCTATTATTAGATTCCTTTATCGTTATTTTTATTATATTTGAATTTAGTTTACAGACACTATTATTGCAGTGTTCTGCTACAGCAGAATTCGCATAATTACCTTGTATTGGACATGTATGTTCCTTTATTCTTATTCCCAGTTTTCTTTTTGTTTCTCCAATATACGTTTTGGCTGGATCACAATTATAATTAAACTAGCAGATAGGTCCGGCGTTGCTTGGACAAAAAGTAATGATAGCGAAGATTAAGATTATTACGTTATAGTCAATGTTACCTGTTTTCAAAGATTGCAAGAATTAGGTCCCCGTTTCCAGAATAATTAGAAACTTTTTAGATGGGTTAAAAAATGTTCGGTTTCCCACATTTGCGTCTGAAAATCTTGTCTGTCGCTTTCTCTTAACACTTCCATTGTTCACACTTCTCTGCTGGGGGAAGTGTTAACAACCTCATCCCCGCTGGTGGAATTTCGAAAAATCCCTTCTTAGTGTATATTCTCGTGACATACCCTATTAAAACGCAATGAAAAACGCAAAAAAATCGCATCTGCGCCTGTAAATCTTGCAAGTCCTTTTCTCTTAACAATTTTATTGTTACTTAACACTTCCATTGTTAATAATTAAAAAATAAAGTTCTTAAAATAAATTGTTCATTCGAATTCATTAAATTTTTATATTTTTAAATTTTTTTAAAATTCCGAATAACAAGTACTGAGCTGATGCTCATACTTTAAATCTTAGAGTGACAAAAGTTTAGGTCTATAACTAAAGCTATTTATCAATTAATAACAAAAGGATAGGAACTGAGCGATTGTATTTATTTTACTTTTTAACGATTCCTTCTCATTGTGGCAGTTACACGGCTTGAATCGAATGGAGAGGACGGGAACTACAGATGTCAGTGTTCGTAAAAGTCTCTGAGAAAGCGTATGTATCATTTCTACATAGAAGTAAACAGCAGTGAGTGAGACAATGTAAGTCGGGTAAGTCCATTAGGGAGACGCAGTAAACGGAGGATTTTCAGACAGTACTTGGGGATGAAGGAAGAGAATGATGGGGAAAAGAGACAAAGAAGTATGGCAATAGATGTGTTACTAGTGAACGGGAACAAAAGACTAGCTAGGGACAAGAAGTAAGAGTCTAAGAGAAAAGACCGGTCTCTGTGGCCAAATCGTGGGAAACCATTCCCTAGACTGATTGAAATCAGCGGGGCCTGTCAAATTTCGAATTCACTTTGATTGTTCCTGACTTTACACTCACGACAGTGGGGACGGAAGACGTGAAAAGACTCCTCCGGTTGCTGAGACTTAGAAAACAAAGACATTCACCCCCTTACCCCTCCATGCCCAGGACCCAAGGAATGGGAGTCCAGGTGTGACTGAGAAGCGTCCTCCAATAGGGGATGCTGTAAAAACAGCTCTGCATAGTTCACCGCTGATATAACCCGTAAACACACTGCTAAGACTAGGGGAGATTAAAAAAAGAAGCTTATTTTCTGGCAGCCTCTCGCTATTCTTTCGTCCAGCCTCATTGTTCTGGCGAAGACGAGGTGTCAGGATGAAGCCAGCGGAGTGGCAGGGGGACAGAGAGAGAACCACTAATAACAACACTTACTGGATTCGAATTTTGCGGTCTATTTGAACAGAACA